CAAAATTAGTGACCTTTATACTCGGTCACTTGACCAACATTAGTTTAGGCAATTTCTTTCTTGTTTTGCATTTATTTTATATACATGGATTTTAGGCACCATATGAGGAGGTTCCCAACCCAATAATTTATTGTTGATTTATTCCACATCGGTTATAGAAGAGGTTGAATACTTGGTTATAAGTGTGAGAAAAAATCTTATTTTTTGAACTAACTTTTATGATTGAGAAGGTTCAATAACACCTAACACTAGTACCAAAGTTTAGGTTAAACAATTCTTCTTGTGTTAGCACTACACAAAGTTGATGAGAAAATAGCTAATTTAGGATTCGATGTGTAAAGAGAAAATTATTAGGTTTTCTCACATCAATCGTGAAAGGAATAAGATGTTTGGTTATAAATGTATGAAAAAGTCTCGCTTTTTGAGGTAGCTTTTGAGATTGAGGATGTCCAATAGTATCCAAAATTGCTATCGTGGTCTAAGTTAAACAATTCTCCATGTGTTGATGCCACGTAAATTGATGAGAAATAACCAAGCATAGGGCTCAATATGCAAAGAAAGAGCCTACATTCGTTGCATAAGGAAGGAGGTGCATGGTTATAAGTATGAGGGAGAACATCACTTCGAGCTAATTTTCAAGGTTGAGAAGGTCCAATACCACTCCATAAATACATAATTTAAATATGGAATTTCAATTAAAGATAAATGACTCATCGATAAAAAAATGTGAGGTCACGATGAGTGTTATTATTATTTAAACATATCTCTTTGTATTTTACCTACGTGTGTTGGATGACCACATCTATAATATGCAATTAAATGAAAACAACATCTAAGTATACAAATGGCCATTGATACCAAATAAAACAACATGTCTTTAATAAAATTAAAAATCAATAAATTTCACTTTATAATTCCCTTTTAAAATAATAATAATACAAAAAATAAAATACATGATTTTTCGTTAATGGTAAATAAAAGATATCATCTTTATTTTTTTGGATAAAGAAGATATTAAATTTAATAGGTATATGATCCCATTAAATAAATAGTCACATCTTATATGCAACCAATCCTTTAGTGAACATTTATTATAGCATGAGTTGTATGCGAGTATTGATCGTATTTTTTTCCTTAAATATGTTATTAAAATGAATTAACATATATGAAAGTATACGTACTAAATTGACCAATGATTAATATAATTACTTTTATCATATTTCAATCAAAAGTTTAGATGATCATTCCAATCTAACTTATGTGAAATTATAATTTATTTTAGGGTTTTGCTTATATATGGTCTCTTTACTCTTTGAATTATTTTGATTGAAATTTTAGATTCTTTTTATTGTTGCTCGAGTCCTTTTACTTTGTATCTTGTTTTGTTTTTGTCCCTCCATCATATCACCATTAGTTCATGAGCTAACATAGTACGACCACTCCCGATTGTATGATATGTATTGTATGTGAGATTCTAATAGAGAGACTCAACTAAAACAATTCAAAGAGTACAAAGACTTGATTAACATAATTTAAAGAGTATATAGATCAAATTATTATTATTTTATTTTTAATTGCCATGTTATTGTTTTTTAAAACCTCATCTTAAATGCATGAAATATGTCATGTATGAGACTCGACTCGAGGTTAAGGCTAAGAGCGATGAGTTTTAATTTCATCTTATTTATTTTTTTGGCCTAAACGTCATTTTTTTGCAAAACTCAGCTCGAGGTTAAGGCCAAGGTCGATGAGTTTTGATAGTTGGCTCATTTGGCATCGAACTCGGGTCTAAAATAAGTCAAAAATTGGTCGACCATTTTTTACTCAAAATCAACCTTAGCTCACAATCGAGGCGAGATGAGTTTCGATGGTTGTCCATTTTTTCATGAGGTAGTCCCAAAAACCTCAAACAAAAGCTTATAGTTTTCTTATAGATTTTTTCGCGCTTGCTCACACCGACTATTCCATGAACTCGACCGCTCGCATGCTCGTATCATCTCGAAAAGCTGAAAAAAGTATTTTTTGGGCTTAAATGTCGTTTTTTTGCATAACTCAGCCCGAAGTCAAGGCCAAGGGTGATGAGTTTTGATCGTTGGCTCATTTGGCATTAAACTAAGTCTAAAACAAGTCAAAACTTGACCGATCGTTTTTGGCTCAAAATCAACCTCAGCTCACGAGTAAATTGTGATGCATTTTTTTAAAGTCGTAATGAGTTAAAAATAATAAAATAATATGTAAGAAAAAAATCTAACATGCAATTACTAAATAAAAATATAGTGTGAGCTACGTCGATTAGCCATGTATTTTTAGTTAATGGGTCTAATCCTAAAAGAAAAAAATAAGAAATTTAAAATATTTGACAAATTCAAGTGAAAAATAGGGTTGCTCTATAAAAAAAAATTTAGAATTGCACCACATTTTATTTTTTGGTATAAACAATTAGCTACTAGTCACCATTAGTGTTGTTTTCATTTTAATCTTGATGAACATATTTGTACTCTATTTTTTTAATTACATGTTAAGTTCATTACGTACGTATTTTATTATTTTTAAATTATTATAATAATTAAAAAAATACACTTCTTAATTTTATTATGATAAAGCCCTATATACAAACCAATAATGTTACGATTGAAGGATGAAAAGAAAATAAAACAAGGAGTAGAGAGATTTGATTAACAAAATAAAATAAAATAAAATAAAATAATACAAGATCTCAATCAAAATAATTTAAATAGTACATGGATTATATATAGACAAAATCCATTCATTTTATCCTAACCAATATAAATGTTTGAATCATATTAAAATTTGACAACTCTCAATTAACTAGAATCAAGTTTACAATTATAACGACCCATAAAAATCAAATAAGGATATATTTTGCTATTGAGATAGAGAAAAATTAAGGATAAAAGGGTTTAATGACTTTTGAACTTTAAGTCATTTGAAGTTGAGTCCTTAAATTTTTTTTATTGATTTTGAAGATTTTTTTTTTCAAATTTAATCAATCTAATAATTTTTAACCATCATTTTCCCTAAAAAAAGTAAATCAAATTCTTGGTATTTTGAATCGAAGTTTTGCACACATGTTAGAAAAATTCAATCCATTTTGTAAAAAAATTCCAAAATCTTTTTTTAAAAAATTATTTATTTATTGAACATTAAAAATATAAAAAATCTAGAAAAATAAAAAATAATCCCAAAACGATCCTAAATATTTCGAGGAGCCTTACATAAATCTCAACGAACGAATTCCATCACGATACCATTTATGTAGTTGTTATTTTTAAGAGAAATGACAAAAAACTGAAAAATTGGTTAAATCTGAAAAAAAATAAAAATAAAAATACCTTGAAAACAATTAAAAAATTTAAAGATTGAACGTCAATTCTAAAAATTAATTACACATTCTAATGTCTTAGTAAAAGAAGTTGCTGGTAAAAGAGGAATTCGATGAGCATTAAAAAAAATATATAATGAAATAATAATCGGTGAGGTAGAAGTAGTAATTAGAGGGTGACATAAACTCTAGTGGCATAGAGCGTGAAGCAATGAATTATCATGAATAATCAAAAAATTAATTAACAATAATAATAGCAAATAATAAGACTTAAAATCCGATTCGTCAATAGTGAATAAGACGGTGGCGTTTCAAGGAATAGTAAGCCGTCTGAAAGAAAAAGCTAAAAAGAAAGAAAGAAAGAAAGAAAGAGAGAAAGAAACAGAAAGGAATTGAAAACACACAGAATTTGTAGCCTCATCGTCTTCTAACCATAACACACCTCTCTCTCTCTCTCTCTTTCTCTACCAAACCAACAACAAACAAACCCTAACTGAAAATCAAATTTCACTAATCGATGCTTTGATCCGACGAAGAAGAAATTCTTTCTCTCAGATCTGATTATTTAGGTATGCTTTGCCCTTTTCTTCTCTCTCTCTCTCTTTTTTCCCCATGGAATTTGTGGTTCTAACTGATTGATTATTATGTATTTTTATGGCTTTGCTCATCTACTCTTTACGGATCGGTTAGTAGTTGGTGTTTTATTTTAGGTTTTTAAAACGCGTTTTTTTCTTTCTTTCTCATTTATTGATTTAATTTTTTTTTTTCGAATTTAGTGTCTGTTTGTCTGCTGAGAATATCGAGGAAATCTTAAGGAAAAGGAATTTTGGAACGATGTGCTTTTTGTCTTTTTTTTTTTTTGTACTTAGATAATTTATTTGCTCTTCGCGGGTAGAGAGATTTACTATAGTTATTTTAGTTTTGTTTTGTGTTTTCAGTAGTCAAGCTGGAGGGTTTGTGCAAAATTACGGAGAATGACTTGTGATTTCATAAATTTGAATGTTATTATTTCGATGCATTATTTGTTTTTTTAATTTTATTGATATGAATTAAGGTGGTTGACTGAGAAGTGCGTCTACAGAATACAAGGATTTATTTATAACTGATATACTTTAAGGTAGTTGATTAGGTTTTATTAGTTATAATGGAGTGCCAGGCATATTTTAACAATGATAGCGAATTTTTGTTTTAGTGGGTTGTGCTGTGCAAATCCATGAGAAGTACTGGAATTCTTAATGTATGGTTTAGTTGGTCTTGATTGGTTTCTTCTAGTTTTGTCTTGAATGTCAAATTGTGTTTTCAATGCCATTATGAGGGAGAAGTGAATTTGTTGTGGAGTGTGGAAGGCCTGGGGTGTTGTATAAAAAAAGGGGGTAGATGGAAATTTGAAATTGGAATCTTCATAATGAAACCTGAAAGTTTGAATCTGATGTCGTATGAAGGTGACTTCTTGTAGTTGCCTTCCAATGCTATTTTCTTAACTTTGTGCCACTTTCCATTGTTCTCGTTTAGTGTATAAAATCTGCAGTTCTTTCTATTTTTGTAGTTAAGCTGGTCTAAATATCCCCCCTGCCCCCCTCTTTTCTTTCTGCAGATCTAGTGCAATTTGGAAGTAGTCAAATATATTTGATGGATGATGATTGTGCAGATGGATAAAATGTCTGCTCCTTCATCACGGGAGCGTGCCCAACGTCTGTATGAAAAGGTATTTCTTACTTTTCTTTTACAAATTTGACCCTCCCCCTCCCTTCTCTCTAGAATGTGGTGTAGCAATCATGGTTCATTTCCTTTTGTTTCTTGCACAGAACATTGAGTTGGAGAGTAAGCGTCGGAGGTCAGCTCAGGCTCGAATTCCATCGGATCCCAATGCATGGCAACAGATGCGTGAGAACTATGAAGCGATAATTCTTGAGGACCATGGTTTTTCTGAGCAGCACAATATAGAATATTTGCTGTGGCAATTACATTATAGGCGTATAGAGGAACTAAGATCTCACTTTAGTTCTACTTTAGGTTCTACTGGCTCAAATGTGAAAGTTCCTGCACGACCTGATCGAATCAACAAGATAAGGCTTCAATTTAAAACATTCCTTTCAGAAGCAACTGGATTTTATCACGATCTGATTCTGAAGATCAGAGCTAAGTATGGGCTGCCTTTGGGTTACTTCTCTGAGGATTCAGATAATCGAGCTGTTATGGAGAAAGACGGGAAGAAGTCTGCTGACGTGAAGAAAGGGCTGGTCTCTTGTCACCGTTGTTTGATATACTTGGGTGACCTGGCCAGGTATAAAGGACTATATGGGGATGGTGACTCCAAAACTCGCGAGTATGCGGCAGCTTCAAGTTACTACTTGCAAGCTGCATCTCTGTGGCCATCAAGTGGGAACCCTCATCATCAGGTTTGGCCTTAATAGCAAATACTATTACAGCAGTATTTTGTTTTGTTTTGGAATTTGATTTTGTTTTTCTTATGGTGATCATAATCCCCTGCTTGACAAGTGCTTTTTACCATTTGCAGCTCGCCATTTTGGCTTCATATTCAGGGGATGAGTTGGTGGCTGTTTATCGATATTTCAGGAGTCTGGCAGTGGATAATCCCTTTGCAACTGCAAGGGAAAACTTGATTGTTGCTTTTGAGAAGGTATCGTTTTTTTTTTTCTTTTAATTGGCTAAAAGCATGTTGGTGTGTGAGCCTTGCACATGATGCATGTGAGCTTGGGGTTAGAAATTGCTATTGTGATCTGCCTTTATTATGTGCCTTCTCTCAAAACTCGAATTGCAAATTGTGAGTATTGAGATGCAGCTTTACTTATGTCATGAAGGCTAAGTTATCTGCTGAAGCAAAAAGACTGATTGTTTGGCCATTTACATGCAAAATCTAACCTTTTATTATTTCTGTCTAAGTTAAGGCCTACTTTTGGGTTTTGGCAGAATCGTCAGAGCTACTCTCTGCTGCTTGGGGATGCAAAAGTCTCTGCTGTCAATGATTCATCTGTGCACTCGACTGGCAAAGGTAGAGTGAAAGGAGAAGCAAAGCCTGCATCTAAGGATACAAAACTGGAAGTAGGTGTTGTCAGTGAAAGGACATCTAATATCCATGAGATGCAGAAGTCCTTCTGCACTCGGTTTGTCCGCCTGAATGGCATTCTTTTCACACGTACTAGGTATTTTACCTTGAAACTTTACTGATTTAATGGATTGCCAGCCTACTTTTGAGGACTGATTTCTGTACTGCCACCTTTTTTTTTCTAGCTTGGAGACATTTGCAGAAGTTCTGACATTGGTTAGCAGTGGGTTCTCAGAGCTTCTTTCTTTTGGGCTTGAAGAGAAGCTGAATTTTGGTGCAGATGCTACTGAAAATGGACTTTTCATTGTTCGCCTTGTCTCCATTCTTATATACACTGTTCACCATGTGAAGAAGGAGGCTGAAGGTCAAACATATGCAGAAATTGTGCAGCGTGCTGTTCTGCTGCAGAATGCCTTCACTGCTGTTTTTGAGTTAATGGGACACATATTAGATAGGTGTGCACAGCTTTGTGATCCTTCTTCAAGTTACCTAGTGCCTGGCATTCTGGTTTTTGTAGAATGGTTGGCTTGTTGTCCTGATGTAGCGTCAGGCAGTGATATGGATGAGAAACAGTCAGCTGTAAGATTGAACTTTTGGAACCATTGCATCTCATTTCTGAACAAGATAGTGTCTTGTTGCTCATTTTCTCTTGATGACAATGAAGATGAGACATGCTTCTATAACATGAGCCGTTATGAAGAAGGAGAAACAGGAAACAGGGTTGCTTTGTGGGAAGACTTTGAGTTGAGAGGGTTTTTGCCACTTCTTCCTGCACAAACTATTTTGGACTTTTCAAGGAAGCACTCATTTGGAAGTGATGGTACTAAGGAAAAAGTAGCTCGTATCAAAAGGATTCTAGCAGCAGGGAAGGCCTTAGCTAATATGGTTAGGGTTGATCAACAAACAATATATTTTGATTCAAAGATGAAGAAATTTGTTATAGGTGCTCAGCCTCAAATTTCAGATGATGGGTTATTGACACTTGATTCTGGCTTGTTGAGAGCTGCTGATGTGATTCAAGAAATGCAGCCTGAAGAAACAATGAATTTGGGAGTTCTGCAGCCTAACCCATATCCATACACTGAAGGTGAAGAGGAAGATGAAGTGATTGTTTTCAAGCCAGTGGTGACTGAGAATCAAAATAATGCAGTTAGTCCAAAATGGGTACAACATGGAGGTCTAAAACCTAGTCGAGATGCTTCAGCAGATGATTTGCACTTTTTTAGTGGTTCTGTTTCAGCCCCTCTTGATAACCTTCGGCAGCAGGCAGCTTTCGATGCAGGCTCTCAGATATCTGTACCAATGGGCACTATTGTCCCCCAGCATCTACAACCAATCCAGCCTCATACTTCGAAGTGGTTAGTTGAAGAAGCTTCTTCTCTTGCCAACGGCTTGAAAGGTGTTAGGTTCATGGAAAATGGGCATGTCATGGAACATGAGATGCAGAAAGATTTAAGCATGGCCTATCCTGCTGCTCATCCAGTAACTGTCCAACAATCTCTGAATGTAAATACTAGTGGTATGTTTTATGGTCAGGCAAAAATGGCAGAATCTGTTGTTCCATCAAAGTTTGACACTTTTGCATCTTCTGGGGTTATTGCTGAAACTTTGGCTGTGAAAGCATCAGCAGCTTTGCCACCGGGTTTCAGGAAAAGTCCAGTTAGCCGACCTCTAAGGCACCTTGGGCCTCCCCCAGGTTTTAGTTCTGTTCCTCCTAAGCAAGCAAGTGAACCTGTTTCTGGTTCAGTTTTGACTTGTGAGAATCCACTACAGGATGATTATAGCTGGCTGGATGGCTATCAGCTGCCATCATCAGCAAAAGTCTATGGGCTCAATGGTTCTGCTAATTTCACTTCTCATGCAGCGACACAGCACATGAGTAACAGCAATGGCTCGAGTGCAACAGCTGGCTTTCCCTTCCCGGGGAAACAGGTTCTGCCAGTGCAACTCCAAGCAGAGAAACAGAAAGGCTGGCAGATCCACCAGGGTTTTGAGCATCCAAGAGTGCAGCAAGAACACCAGCTGCAGCAACAACTCATTAATGGAAACCAGCAGTTCTCTTCAATTCCTGAGCAATATCATGGACAGTCCATCTGGGGTGGTCGATATATTGTGTGAAAAATCAGTATGGAAGCTTAGATGGTAAGATTCTGGCTTATACACTGCATCCTGATCCACCATTGGTGTGTAAGCTCTCTTGTTGAATGTTGTTCTGTTCTGATAAAATCATTTTTTTCTTGAGGTTCCGAGTGACTTCGGCGAATGTACTGCATCCTTTTGCTACCAAATACAAACTCCAACTTAGCAGCCTTGTCAAATTTCAAATTTAAGTTTTTGTTGGAGCACGGGTGGCTTTGGCTCCTTGGCGGGCACTTGCTACTGAACAAGTGAGCATCTATCTATGTTGTCGTTGACTTGTTGATTATTCAACTAGCAATTGCTTTGTTTGATTTGGATAATGTGCAGTATGTTGCATGGACTGATTTCTTTGTCTCAAATACAGATTTCGCGGAGCTCTCCTGCCAGAAGACAAATATTGCAACATCTTGATGATGCGAAATTTGTAAGAAGTAAATGCCTGATCTGGTTACTTGGGTTGGAGATAGAACATGTTAATAAGAGCAACTGTTGGTTATGGGCTTATATTTGGAGGAGTTGGTGGAATAAAGATATGGCGTACTCACCATCCTACTAAACTTTCATTCCGCTCTCTGCTGTCCGTTTTACTGGTATCGTCTGTCTACAGTGATATGTTATATTTTACTCTCTGCCAGATAGCTTCAGAGGGGAGAGTGCCTAGGGGTATGATATCAGCGTCAGAAGTTGCATTTAATGATGTTATCAAGAGTTCTATGTATGGGTGAGTGGAAGTCTGATGTGTATGGTGGTAGTGTCCATAGATGAAAGACTTGTTTGATTATATTATGCTTTCCTGGTTATGGGCTATAAGTGACTTTAGTTTGTGCCGAAGTTGGGTCAGACACTAGCTTCTAAGAATAAATCATCGAACTGTATCCTTTCTATGCCCAAGACATTAGTGTTATGTTTGGAGTCGTGTTTTTGGTTATATATTTTCTATGTTGCTTGGTCAATGTGTGGATGCTTGTTGGGGCCGGATGCCCGTTGGCCTTCATTTACGGGTTTGCTGATTCAGGTTTGGACTAGGCATGGTTTGTGATGCCCTGTGCTACAAACATAATCACCTATGGTTGTGATCCTCATTACCCTAGGAGCATTATTTATTAAGCCTGAACCGTGTTAAGTGCGTGCTTTATTTGTAAGTTCATTCGTTGCTTTCATCTGCTTAAGATGAGCACTGTTGTAAATCACTACATCTGCCTCGTCCAAGAGCTTGGGTTTGGAGTTGTGATGCTGTAGCCCCTTGTTGGCGGTAAGTCCGTGTCATGTGGCTCCATTTGTGGAGGATCTTTGAACCTCCGCTCCTGAAGTAGGTGTGGTGGGGGGATTTTCCAGTTTGTGTGGATGCTGTGGTTGTAATGTGTCTTGTCGAGAGTTTGGGGTAGCTTATATCTACCTTACCATTCTAAACACAAAAAAAATAAATAAATAATAATATTAGCAAATAAAGGATCCTGGATGGTTACTCTCACAGTAACTAATGTATGGCGGAGGTAACGTGATTTAATTTAAACGGAATATCTCATATTTTGTTTGCATGAAATGTTTTGAAAAAGGGCTTTAAGGTTTTAGAGTTGAATCAAATGGAGCTACCCAGGTCGATTTAATTGTGTGGACGGAAAACATAACTTGTCAACCTCAATTACTTATCTTTGGAAATATGGAGTGAGCATCATGGAAATCAAACCGTGCGAGTGAAAATTAAAATTAAGGAAGTTTCTAACAAGGAATTCTCCTGTCCAAGAAACCTAACTTGGTTGGTTGAAGCAAGGAATTATTTGCTTCGTCTTCTTGGATTTTTTAAAATTAAGATTTATTTTTTTGATATTTTACATAATTTAAAAAAATTGTTTTTATTTTTTAAAAAATTATTAATTATTGTGTAGTATCAGTATTTTTGTTCATATATATATATATATATATTTAAAAAATACATGCATTACATGAAATTAATATTAATTTAAGAAGAAAATCAAAGGAAAAATAAGTTAATTAACAAACAAGTTTAAAATAATTATAAAAGATAACATACTAATGAAATTATTTTATTTTTAAAATTTCAGCATGTAGTAAAATTTCTATAAAAAATAAATATTTTTGAAGCAACAAAAAAATTTTCTCTGAAATTTTTATGTTAAAAGTATTTTTATGTATAAGAAAAGAATATTAATTTTTTATCAGTGAAGAATAAGAAAAAAAAATTGATTTTCTTTATCAATTAAGAGTATTTTTGAAAAATATATTATTTAAAATTTTGACAAACCAATATTTTAGAACAGATATGAATGAAAAAATAGTCTTTTTTAGAACAAAAATGGTAATATCATGCTTTTCAAACTGGGATCATGGATTTTTGTTTAATTTAGAATCTAATGTCCCCAGATCATGAAGAGAAGTGATTTTATCGACATCCGCTTGAAGTCTTTTTCTAGGTCCCAATCAGAAGACTTTGCGGGATTCGCGTTTATAGCATTCAAACTCAACATGCCGTGCAAGGAGCCGGTGCACTTGTTTTTATTTTATTTTATTTTTATTGATATCTTATTACATGCACATGTAAGACATTCTGTAAGAAAATCATGAATCATCAGTGGTTCATAAAACTATGAAAGTTTAATTCTTTATTTCTTTAAAACCCCGTATCCTTTTTCTGATTAGGTCAAGACCTTTTTTCCCCCTTTTTTCTCTTTTGGCAGTCATTTGGTTTATTTTGTACTGGTAAGCTTCTCACATCATGGATAAAATATATTTATTTTAATTTAATAATATGTAATCATCTAAAATATATAAAATTAAAGATTAAAAAAATTCATCTAATTTCATATTCTTTAATCAAAATTTTATATTTAATTTATTCTTTTTTATGTTTGTCATAATTTTTTTTTGTTAAAACACACAATATTTATTGTTTAAAATTGATCTCTTTAATTTGTAGTTTCTTATAGAAATACTCATCAAATAATTCTTTGTTCTTTTTTTTATGTAATTTTATTTGTTAATAAATATGATTTATTTTCTCTATGTTCAAAATTTTGAATAAGTTTTTTTTAAATAAATAATCAATTAAAAAAATAAAATTCACATGTTTTATTTGTTTATTCTTTAAATAATATCATTTTGTTTGTCTTTATAGATTTTTTATAAAAAATAAAAAAAAACATAATAAATATGGTTTTAACAAAAGGTATGATGAAAAAACTAAACATTTCGAAGTGTGTATGGACAAATATTTTAAGAAAATTAAAAATAGAAATAGGGAAAAACAAACTAAGACGGAGAGAGTAATTTGTAAATAATACTAATTAGAAATTAAATAAATTTTAATTTCCTAATCTTAGATTTATATGTTGTCTTAATTTCACCTAAAATCTTTGATTTATTTCAATTGACTCCACATTTTCATTTTTGTTCCAATTAGTCCCTACAACCTTTACTTTTGTTCCAAATTTCCACCACAAAAAAACTGCTAAACAGCAATAGAACTCATATATGAACTCAGATGCAGATTAGTGTCTATTGTTGAATAATGACGAACCAACGAACGGATTGTGACTGTTGTCGAGATGTGAATCTCAACTATGAAACATCGATTAATTAATGATAGATTGTCAACAACGGACCTATATTACTCGCTATATATGGCAGCAAAATATTTGTGCATATTTTAGAGATGGTTTAACAAGGGCATTATGAGGTACATCAGCGTCGAAATTTGATATGAGTACATTATTAAACAAATCTGATATGAGTACATTATAATCGAGTAGGAATCTAATAATCCTCTTTTAAAAAGTAAAGAAAAAAATGGAATTAATTTTGAAAGCTATGTAAACTAAATAAAATAATTATGATATTATTGCCGAACATTTTTCGAATGCAGCATCATTTTACAATTAAGTTTATCAAAATTGCAAAGATTAACTAGCAATGCTTACATATCAAAGAAGTATACCTTTTTAGGTGTCCAAATTATAGGAAAAACGAATACTCGTTTGGATCGGTGAGGAGAATCCATGACGAGAAGAGGCAATACTGGCAATTTCAATTATATTATATGCATTCAATTATCCGGTTATCCATGCTATTCTGCTATTCAGGTAAAACAAATTATTTTAAAATTTTAAATTTTTTGGATTAATTTTTTTTAAATTTTTCATAAATTTTTTCTTAAAAAATATGATTTATTCTTCTTTATGTATTGATTCTTAAATAAGAACTTATAATAATTTAAATTAGAATATTAATCAAGAATTAAAAAAATTACTTTAAAAATATATTTTTCATAAGAATATATCTAAAAAATAAAATTGCAATTAATATATAGACTCGTATAAAAATTAACTAAAAAAATATTTTTATTTAATGTTGATGAGAAGATTATTTTTTAAAAGTATATGCATTTGATCTATATATAATTATTTACGAAGTAATCAATAATTAGCATAAAAAATTGAATTTGAATAATTGGTTGGTTCCTTTAAAAAATTATTTTATAATTATTGATAGCAAACAGTTGGTATTATATGTGAAAATATATAATTAATTTTTAATAAAATCGATGGTTCAATAGTTTTTTTTTTATACATTTTGATCATACATAGTGGACTGAAACAAATTATTTAAAATACACTTTTAACCTTTTAGATTAAACTAATTATATATTTATATCATTTAAAAATTCTAAGAATTCATGATATATATTATATCAACTTATTTTTAGAAAAAAAAAAAACAACTATGTTTTAAAATTTTGATCTAAAATTCAAATTCAGAGAAATATTAATTATACTTATTAGTAAATAAAATTTTATATAAAAACATAATTAACCGGATGAGAATTTTAATGAAAAATAAAAAATTTAAAGAATAAATTTTAAATAATAAGAATAATTTAAATACATGTTAATTTTAAAATATTAAAGATAGTATATATATATATATATATTATCCTCGTTATGCGGCATGAAAAATAAAATAATAACATTCGATGTTTTATAATTTTTGTCTAAAATTCTTAGTTAAAAAAATAGAGAAAAGAAAAAAAAACAAGGAAGAGGCCTGGGCCATTGGACTTGAACGAACTAGCCTGCGTGTCTGGGCAGAAACAAAATTGATTGGTTTTATCCTCTAACAACCTCTGCAATTTTCGACGAGCTCAATTTCATCGAAAAAGTGACCGTAAAGTCAAGTTTCTTAATTTTTCAGCCTCTTAAAACCAAATTCAGTTATGTTTTTATCCAAAAACACTTTTAAATCATAGAAGAAATATAAATAAATCTATTTAAAACATCAAAATTTATTTTAATTCATAAAAATTCAAACCAAAATAAATTTTTAAATATTTTTGAATTTCGATCTATTTTCTCTGATCATTTTATCGTTTTTTGTCACCATAAACAGATTTTACCCTCTAAGACGAACAAATTGATGATAAGTTTGACCATCAAGTAATCAGAATGAATCTTGGTCGTTCCTCTCTTTCTCTCTTCTCGTTTTTGTATTGTTTCTCTTTCTTCTTAGCATAAAAGGGTCAAAATTAATGAAAAATAAAGTTACGGTTTGAAAAAAATGTTTAAAAAATAAAAAACAAAAGTATATTCTCAGGTATACAGTATAATTATACAGTGAATGAATAATGATATCTTAAATAATGCACAGTGACTGAATAGGAAAAGTACAGACACATGGAACAATGAATCATTATTCGTTCTGTTTTAGTATTTTTAGTAATATATTATACTGCTCCAAATCCATCTGTATGTAATCAACTCCAGGCTCCTTTTCCATCTATAAAACAATAATTCCTTTCCGCTCGCAGTGTTAGGAAAACCCACCCACTGATAATGACCAGATTAAATTATATGTACAATTACAACAATCCTTATATCATTAATGTATCAATCTTGGTGTGAAAGCACCAACTTTAATGCATCCTGTCATTTATATGCCTCACATTCACAATAATCAAAATGGAAAATATCTGCGTCATGATAGAATTGGCCCCATTGCCAAAAAAAAAAAAAAAAAAAAAAAAGAGACAACTGCCTGGCCTTAAAAAGAGCACACTATGAAAGAGATCACGGGCTTGATTAGAGAAATTGTCAAAACAGCCATAACCAGAACCAAAAATTCATCCTCATCTCCTTTCTCCCCTCTAAACCCATCCCTAAATGCAACAAAACATGTCCACAGAAAGACCACCTAAACTAGCTACTACCATTTTCCTCTTCCTCCTTGTACTCCTCCATGATCAAATCCATGCGAGTCCAATAAAAACTGTTGTGGTAGTAGTGATGGAGAATCGTTCTTTTGATCATATGCTAGGTTGGATGAAGAAAATCAACCCTGAAATCAATGGTGTTGATGGTACTCAGTGGAATCCATTGAACATAACGGATCCAAATTCACAAAAATTCTTTGTCAATAACCAAGCTCAGTATGTCGACCCTGATCCTGGTCACTCTTTTCAAGCAATAAGGGAGCAAATATTTGGGTCTGAAGACACGTCCAAGAACCCTCCTCCCATGAATGGCTTTGCTCAACAAGCTTTCTCTATGGACCCATCAACCAACATGTCTCGGGATGTCATGAATGGATTTCAGCCTGATATGATAGCTGTGTACAAGACACTTGCATCTGAATTTGCTGTCTTTGACAGGTACAGCCATTTTTTTTCGTCTGTTCACATTTAAGTCACGATGTAAAGATTCCATTTATACATCCATAATTTCAATGTAAACACGCTGACTTTTCTCACCCCGAAAGTATAATTCACCGATGTCATGATTTAATCTCAGGAATGTGATGGAATTTTAGCTTAAATTTCTATCATAAGAATTTAACGGACGATTTTCATAACCAAATACGCCGTCTTTTTTTGCTCTTTATTAGTTTTTACACCATCCATGTTGAAGTTATAAGTAGGAGTCCAATTTTTACCTTTTTCTTTTTTTCTTTTCTTTTCTTTTTTTTTAAAAACTTATTACATGTGTTTTGAGCATGTTACAGAATTTTATTTTTTATTTCGTAAATCGTGTTGACTAGTAAGGAGGCATATGGAGTATATTTTAGTTAAAAAACGGTTTTTTTTTTTTTTTTGAAGTACTGAATTAATTTATAAATTATGAAATACTTAGCTATAATTTTTAGTTATGTTATTGCACAAACATTTCTATATTGTTGTCATGATTTGGCACGTACAAGGAAAAAGTACATGGAATATCTAATTCACAAATTAAAAAACATTCTGCTCTGTTAGGTGGTTTGCTTCTGTGCCATCATCCACACAACCCAACCGGCTATTTGTGCATTCAGGCACATCCGCCGGAGCCACCAGCAACATTCCGGCATTGCTCGTTAAAGGGTACCCTCAAAGAACAATTTTCGAGAACCTTGACGATGCTGGAATATCTTGGGGAATATACTATCAGAACATTCCTGCAACGTTGTTTTATAGGAACCTAAGGAAACTCAAGTACATCACCAGATTCCATCCTTACGGCCTGTCGTTTAAACAACATGCAAAGCAAGGCAAGCTTCCTGGTTATGCTGTGATTGAGCAGCGGTACATGGACATGAAGGTAGCTCCTGCCAATGATGATCATCCTTCCCATGATGTTTATCAAGGGCAAATGTTTGTCAAAGAGGTACTCGATTTTTTTCTTTTAACATATTCTGAACGGTTCTCATTCATGCGCATGTAGACGATTCCGTTAATCTTTTATCTCATTATTGAGATTGTCCTATTTATTTCTCATAAAACAAATGTTTACCCTTTTTTTTTCTCTCAAATTATTTTTGTAATTTTTCGATATTGCAGGTGTACGAGACATTAAGGGCAAGTCCACAATGGAACGAAACTCTGATGGTGATCACATATGATGAGCATGGTGGTTTCTACGATCACGTGGCTACACCTGTTAGTGGGGTCCCTAGTCCGGATGGGATTGTGGGACCTGAGCCATTTTTGTTCAAGTTTGATAGACTTGGGGTAAGAGTTCCCACCATCATGGTCTCACCTTGGATAGAGAAGGGCACCGGTAAGTAGCACGTCACTTTCAAATTTCAACCATTTCTTTCTGGGTTTTAGGATTTCAGCTTATCCAAGAATATTATTGTGGGCATTATATTCCTAGCATTATCATTTACGATTAATGGCTAACTTAAATGTTACTCAGGCCTTACCTTTACTTACGACTAACTGTTAGTAAAATTAAAAAAAGAGAGAGAGAGGGAGAGAGGGAGAGAATTGGTGACCTTCTAAACAGAGAGAGAGAGTAGGTGACCCTCTACTTCTTTTTGTGTTTTTAGTACCCATCCATGGTCAATGCATATATAATGTGAAATGAAATCCCCGTGGATGACCATCAGGCCAGCTAAAAGTAAAAATGGCCAATTTATCACTTCTCTGCCTTTTCTCAACCAACGAATATGTCTTAATGTGACGAAATTAATTATGGGTTGGTTAGGCTGTCGTTGAGTACTTTTTTTCCGTTTGGAAAATTTAATGCGAGTTTATTATGACACCGTCTTGTAGTTGCCGAAAAGTTGCGTACTGTTGGCACTAGTTGAGAGAATGAGCGGAAAGGTAGTGGACTTTTGGTTTGTTGCTGAAAAAGGTTTTGCGTGCAAGAGATCGAACAACATATGTAACATTAACTAACAGATAATGCCACCCAGCCAGCCTTTAGCCTAACACGAGCACGGTTCTTGATCAACCTTGCTCTTCTGGTTAGTGTTTGCGATTGAGTCCATCATATTTAGGGCCCATGAAAAACCCAAAAATACATAAATTAGGAAAAAAAAAAAAAAACGGAAATCTGAAGATTCTAAGCATAATGTTGTCTATTATTATTATTATTATTTGAATGGAAGGCATGGCAAATTGTCAAATATAGAGCATCATTTTGCAATACTTTTGCTGATAATTGACGTATGAAAACTTTAACTGAAAATTGAAAAATCTTGCTTTGTCAATCGTCATGTTGATGCAGTTGTCCATGGGCCCAATGGGTCACCATTTCCAACATCAGAATACGAACACTCTTCCATTCCTGCAACGGTGAAGAAGCTCTTCAACATTTCCTCTCCTTTCTTGACAAAAAGGGATGAATGGGCGGGTACCTTTGAAGGCATCGTACAGGCTCGGACTGAGCCCAGAACTGATTCCCCAGGTTAGTCACCTCAAATCGTTTTCCAAGCTTGGAATACTATAGCATTTTTGCTAGCAACTGTCCATGTTCTCATCCTCTCTTCTGAACAGAGCAACTACCAATTCCAACTCAGATAAGGAAGAGCGAGCCCAATGAAGATGCCAAGCTTAGCGAATTCCAGCAGGAGCTACTGCAGCTTGCAGCTGTGCTAAAGGGAGATCATATTTTGACCAGTTACCCTAACAACATAGGGAAGGAAATGACAGTCAAGCAAGGGAATGATTACATGGAGGATGCACTGAAACGATTCTTCGAAGCAGGACTTTATGCTAAGAGCATGGGAGTTGATGAGGAACAAATTGTTCAAATGAGGCCCTCCCTCACTACAAGAAAATCCAAACCAACAACCAATCAACCATGAAGATCTTTGTTCCATACCTTGATACTCAGCAGCATTAGCAATTGTATCTACAGCAAAAAAAAAAAAACAAAAAACTAAAAAAAAAAAAAAAAAAAACTAAAAAACTAAAAAATTGCCGCAAATAATGGTTTCTCCATCACTTGCTCTATTGATAGTGTTCTATAATGAAATCGAGCTCGCCAATACTGGAAGATGACTGAAAAAAAGAACAAAATCCATTACCCTAATAAATCCGGAAGAATTTTTATGGATGTTGACAAAATATACACAATTGGATAGCACTCGAGATGGCTTTAAGTTTTAGTCCTCAGCCTAGGGCTCATGCATTGGAGCCTACTGCTTGTAGAATAGGAGATCCAGGGAGCTCACTTAAACCATGCCAGCCTGGAGAATGCGTAGAAGAAACATAGAACCACTAAAACTTGCACCTGTCAGGTGCACTCCTCTTGCTTGCATATATGCTTTTCGCTATACCAGAGTGATGTCAGGGGAAAATCAGCACGGACAAAGGACTGTATTAGTGAAAATTAGGCCTTCTGAAACAAAACAACAAGAGGGAAGATTATCTCAGTCAACTGACATGTCTTCAAACGTAAATAGTTGTACAAATGCTAAACAGATTAACCTGCCCGTCGACAATCAGCCATGGTTAGCACAAGACAAATTTCTTCACAATTGTTTCATAAACAGCAAAGAGTACTACAAATTGTAAAAGCAAGAAAGTCTCAATTTACAGGTCTGAAACATTCAAAACTCAGCACTATTTCAAGTGCAGCAGGTATGTGTACAAAAAGAATTCGGAGTCCTTCATGATTAATTCACAAAGTGTCACTAAACAAAGATTCCTCTGCTGTGAAGGCATCTATCTTCCTATACCCCTCTTCTGTTACCGTGTAGATAGTATGAGTGAATCTCTTCTGGAGGAGATCAGAACGAACCAAGTATCAAAGAGATTATGATCCACATCTTGATCTCAGTCACTGTTTAACGAGTCCCAGCCTGGAATGTTAGCCGTAGCCTCATTCACCATCTTTACAAGTCTCACCTGCAGAGAAACACGATGAAGGGATTATTAACTCAGTGAGAACGAGACAGAGAGAAAATAAAGTGACTTCACATCCATGGTCTATGTTTCATGCAAATGAAAATATGGTGCAAAGATTCATAATCCAGATATGAATCATCACTTTAAATATCCATTCCCATGGGATTAGTAACTACAAAAAACAGTATATGTCACAGAACCATTTATTTCACACCAGATAAGGATGACATCAGAGACGAAGAATGCTTGAACAACTTAATGTAGGTATGCTTTGGTTTCTTTTCACCTAGTATGTTAAGGTCCATGTAATTTTTAATTGTGTTGGATGGAGACCAAATAAGGCTTGTTCTCTAGACTACATAATAACATAGACAGACAGTTTTGACTTGCAAGTGATCAGGATGGTTAGCATGCCAAGTTGATATGTACAAATGGTTCGTTACAAACTAAAACTTGACAAAATGAATGGTTTTATGTAAACAAATTCAATCCATGCATCAAATAATATATTATATGCAAAGAAATCATACATGGAAAATGCAGTGCCACTGTGTATCTGCCCCTTCTACATTATAGATTCATATGTTAATTTTTTCCTTCTCTACAGAGCATGTCTGTCTAAGATGGCAATTCTCTTGCACATCTCCAGTGTACGGATAAAGCCTAACTGGCTTCTAATTCATAAGTAATCCTTGAAAAGCAAGTTCAACCTATGCATTCAAGCATCCCTATCATAGCGAATAAACAAATATGTGTCAGTGTGAGGGCCATTTTGAGAAAGTTGAACTTTGCCAACTTATTACAACCTTTACCTAAATATTATAAGTTTGATCCACAAATGCAGTGTGTTCTAGTTCCAGCTTGGCTTAATTATAATAGTTTCCCTCTAAGCCCACTTATCAAACGTGAAGTTTGAAGTTTCTGATGCCTGTAAATATGATCTCCCAAATGGTCCCTTGTAAAAAATGTAGTTGTGGACATACCACGCTTTCAGGAACTCCTGGTGGGGGCAGGGTGAGGTTCTTTGGTGGAGGACCACTGAGATAGGATCTCTTGTCAAACCGCCATTCTCCAATCTTTCCATATGTTAATTTTCCCTGAATGATTAACAAATTACAGTACACAAAATAAGAATCAAACAATTGTTATTAGAAAACACTAGTGAACATTTGCAAGCAAAAACAAGCAAATAAAAGTAGAAGGTGAAGAATAAAGTTAAAACATTAAAATCATAGAAGACAAGAATAAATATGAGAAAGAGAAAGAGATCCCTTTCTTTACCTTCATATTATAGTCGCATCCATAAGTATAGTGGATAATAAATCTCTTCCCAACTTCCAAATCCCATGGCGGCTGAAACATACATTGATATAGGTAATTCTTTACCAGTGACTTCACGAAATAGAGAGATACAAGAAGCATTAACATATGCCATAGAGATACCTGTAGCATAAAGTCATTACGAAGTATGTGCCTCACACCATGCAATGCAGATGCTACAGCATAGGCATACCTTAGACCAACAGAGACGTGTGAGCAACAATGAAGATATTCCAACCCTCAAGAACTAAATTCATTAGTAAAATAGAAAGAATCCTATCAAATATTACTCACATTTCTAGCACCCAACCAAATTCCTTATCAGTCTCCGGGTCATCCTTCATTCTTAAGGAAACATTCACCCAGGTTGGCGAAATTTCCTCCAGCAGGGACTGTAAAGATAAGGGAAGTTCATCCAATGTTAAGAAGGCAATATTGTTTAAAGCAAAAGAAAACAGTTCTCTTAATTGCCACAACAATAGTGATATTCTGACAAGGACAGTGACGTGTCATATAAACCATGATTAGCACTTCATGGGTTTCCATCTGAATTTCAAATTATACTCCCACATTGTTGAGCTTCTGATAACTAATTTGGAAATGCATAAAATTCCAACAACAATAGTGATATTCTAACAACAAGGACAGCAGCGTGTCATATAAACAATGATTAGCACTTTGTGGGTTCCCATCTGAATTTCAAATTATATTCCCACATTGTTGAGCTTCTGATAACTAATATGGAAATTCATAAAATTCTCAGAAGTTCAAATGGTTTAGACAGGCTACAATTGCAATAAGAGTTGTACCTTTTTTATTATTACAGGAGAATTGCCAATTGGATCAACGTCAGTCACAGGACCCTTCTCCTCAGGATAAAACTTCCTAACAACTTTCTCATGTTCAGTTGGTTTAATATAGAAAAATGGGAAACCTGCTGGATTATCTCCATGTGCCAAGTTAGGCAAAGGATTTGCAAATATGTGGTCCGGCTCTGCCATTAGAATGTATCTGTATCAATCGTAAAATTGTTGATAGTCAGATGGCAAAAAGCAAGAGCAAGAAATAAAAGGAAACTGAGGATCATAACTTTAAAAACTTACTCTTCCTCAATTGTCGCCTTTTCCAGCCATTGCACAAAAGCCCATGGTCTATTTAAGACAATATAACCCTGGATAGAGCATAAAATAGCCATATGAGAAAACTATGTAATTAACTGATCATTGATAACAGTAAAAAATGAAGTGACTGCTTTCCTACTAAGATTAGGAAGAGGCAGCAATTTGGCATGGGAAACACATTAAGTGTCTGCATCACTACTGATTTAAGTCAATCTAGAACAAAGGTGAATGAGAAATGTCATGGTTTATGGTATGACCCAGTATAATTCATGTTATTGATGCACGGAACACTACCTGAATCTCTTTACAAATTACCAATGACATTTTAAGTTCACAATATTACAACATGCAAATAAAACTAGGAGCAAAATAAAAACATGTCTGAGAGCTATTCATTTCCTCGAGCAAATTCTACTTCCAGTTCACGATAACTTAAATCAACATGTAACTGAATAAAAGCCAAAAAATAAATATAAGTAATGGCAAATGTGAAAGTAGAAAATGTTACCCGATCTAGGCCCTCTGGAAGAGGATCAACAACAAAAGTTGGAATCTCGTCCATCAAATGATCACCTTTTCCAGAATGCAAAACTCGAGTAAACTTTCCCATGTCTGATCCTGGCATGTTTTTCATCTTCTTATACCAATAATACATAATCCGGCATTGCCATTGACTATAAGGAGCATCAGTAGCCGTAAGAGCAACATGGAATTTCAAATTCGACTCCCCTAATTTCCTCAAATTGGCTGGCATCCGAGTTACAGGATCGGAAGTCCCTGATCCAAATCCTGAACTAGAATCCTTATATTGTATTACCAAAGTCAACAAGTTATATGTCGCAAAGAAAAACCCTAGTGCCAAAAGCACCAAAAGCAATGGCGACGCTCGCCCCATATTTTTTCTTCCAATCATCTCGAACCCCCCAATATACAGAAAGTAAATTCCAAGTCTTCACAATTGAAAAAGTCAACTAAACCTCAATTATGCTATCTACAATAGCATTTAAAGACAAACCCAGATATTAACATTTAAACCACTCCAATTCACATCTCCAACTCACAATTTCACCAACTAAAACTCCACTGTCTTTTCAAAACATCCAATGGGTCAATCACAAACTTGAATAAAAAGCAAAGAATCAATCTGCATTACAATAACAATTACACAAAAAAACAGTGAGTCAACAGTATAACACAAAAATATATCACTCTGTTCTCGTTATCAAACAGAACTCAGAACTTCAAAAGCAGAAAAAAAGAGAGCATAATTCTCAGTGTCAAACACTGATAACTCTAATTCAAAAACTAAACCCAGATGTCAAAAAATCACTAAAATGAAAATCCATGCAAGAATCAGAATTCATGCCCATCAAGATAAATACAAAGAAATACACAGATCTGATAAGAAGTTTTTTTTTTTTTTTTCTGCTTACCTGAACAAAGAGAAGCAAAAGAGGAAATTTTGGGTTTTGTCAACGCTTTGCTAAATGCTAAATGAATAACGCGGAGGAGTTTTGGTTGACAAATTGCAAAACTGAGAAAATGGAAGGAAACTGAATGCTTAATAAATAAATAAATTTATTATTACTACTATTAACAGAATAAAAATAATGGTGTTTTTAATATTTTGTCTATCTATTAATTAGTTATTACCACCTGCAAATATTGATGTACTTAGGTGGATGCTGATCTGGTGACGGTTGGATTTAAGGATGAGGAGACCATTTGGATTTAATGATTTTGTTTTTATTTTTGATAAGTGCTTCTAAATTTGTCTCATCCTTCTTTTTCATTTGAATTTTGTTGTAAAGGAAACCACTTTATAATGCAAAAGAAGCAAAATAATTAGACATAAGGATGGATGGCCTAGTAGCTAGTAGGCTAGTACTATTAAGGATAATGAATATTTATACCATGTTGATCTTTGAACAAAGTGGACTTCAGCTTTTCTCAAAATAAACAAAAGCGTTTTGAGATTGCAAAATCCATACTTTTCTGAGTGCAGGTTTAAGATTTGTGTCATTGTGCCGCGTTCTTTGGGTTGAAAATGACACGAACCAAATGAGTGCGTGATTTTGATTAATCAGGTTTATTATATATAGGATTCAGCATGCAATTATTGATAAATTTTGAAGAAAAAAAACACTATTTTGAGACGTTATTTATATTTTTTATAAATATAAATCAGTAAATAATTGATCGAATTTGATCAAGTATTTTTTATATTTAGACAATTCGATCTATCATCAATTCTTAACAAACATTTAAAAAAAAAAGGATTTACAGAGAAAAATAGGTTTATTAAGTGAAGAGTATAAATTAAAATTAGAGTTTTTCTATTTTTATTTTCCTAAAATGAGTAACATGAGGTGTGAAGCTGTGACTTATGGAGAAATTTTATAATACATCAAGAGTAACTAGTGACATATACGAGTAGCTTACTTCATGGGTCCATTTTGAGGAGAGAGATAGACATAAAAAAAAAAAAAATTATATACATATCCACTGAAGTGATAAGAAGATTTCCATGTTCGTTCAAATTTTTTTATTTTCTCTCTCCTATTTCTCTCTCTCCTTTTTCGTGTCTCTCCTCAAAATGAGCTCAAAAAGTAAGCTATTATGCATGTCATTAGTTACTCTCGGTATATTATAAAATTTCTCGTGACTTATGAGAGAGTTTCCACGAAACTATTGTTTATTTTCTTAAAAAAAAGTGATGAAAATTAGAGTAGAGTATTTTAGTCAAAGTTATATGATTTAATAAAAACATAAAATCTCAAAATGTAGTTTTTGTATAAATTTTTTGTTAACTTCACTTCAAACCAAAATCCAAGGCATAAAAGAAAAACCTTTTTGATACTCTCACAACATAAAAGGATTAAGATTCAGGTTTGAATCGGTCTTCTTGACCATTGCTTTGTATTCATTTGTAGCATCCTAAAATGTCATAATCACAGTTTGATTGCTAGTGGTTTTGGAAAAACAAAGAGTTGGGTTTATGTTTCATTTTTGAGCAATACTTTTTTTTTTTTTTAAGAAAACGGTGGTTTTAAATGAGTAGTAGTGTTTAAAAACTGCTTTATTAAATGAATGATGTCCAAAATAATCATTTCCTTTGGCAATTTTTTTTTTTTTTTGGCAAGTAAGCAGCATATAGGTTGTCGTGATATTTAAGGACAATCTCAGGAATTTGTTGAGTTTCTGGTATTTTCACAAAACTATTACAATGTTCGCTCCTATTGTGATAATATGTTAAGCACCTTAACTTATGGGTCCGTTTGGGAATATTTGCTTTTGGCTTCTTCTTCTTCTTCTTCTTCTTCTTTTTTTTAAAAAATTGAGACTTTTTCTCTAAAAATCATTGAAAAAGATATTTGGTAAAATTATTTTAAAAGTTATTTAGAAGCCAAAAGTTATAAATTACAAAATGAAATTTTTGGTTTTTGAATCTTATATAACCCAAAAATATTTTAACAGCACATATATAATTTTGAGACTAGTTGTTTGACTGCAATTCCTTCGTCAGTATCCAGAACAGAAACATGGAGCAAAACAACCATACCAGGATGTCAATATCTTATTCCCCTGGTGGTGGCATAATCCTTACACAATGTCATTAACAAAAGTGAATATTATCGTGCTTATGTCAGAATTTCTACACTGTCAAATTGTTGTTTTTGAAGCCCTTCTAGCAAGAATTATCCAACACAGCACACGATAGAAAACAAAGAAACCAAACATGATTCCAACATTTATCCACCTAGTATCCTTGTCAAGTCCTCTATTCTTGAGGACATCATTTCCTGTAAGCACACACTTGGAGTGATCCTGACCCTGCCAAGAGAAACACTCACTTCTCACACTCCAATACTCATTTGTAAGCAGGGAATCCAATGGATACCTGTAGAGAGAAACATAATACATGAACAACCAATATTTGGGGATGTTCTCTTTTGGAATGAAGTATCCAGAGAATAGAAAGAATGCTCCAAGAACTGTGCAGATGAGAGAATTTCCGGAAATGAAGTCATGGGAGACTGCACTTAAGAAAAGCACTAGAGAACTAGCCATCAGGACAATGAGCCAGACCACAAATGCAAAGAATGCAAAGGCAGCAATGGAAGGATTAAGTCCCACAATCCAGTACACAGGAACGGCGAAAAGAATAGCCACAGCTAACAGAAAAGGCAGAAAGACAATTGTGTTGGCAATCATGTAGGAGGAGATACTATAGGCTCCTCTTGAAGATTCTTTCATCAGAACACGCCGCTCCTGAAGGTATATCGGAAGAGCTTCCACTGTTGAAGAAAGAAGAAAACTAAGACTGAATGCAAATAGGCCTAATCGCTCAGCAACTCCTTCTTCATCCTTCCTCACCTTGATATATACACTGGCCAACCCAAAGCCTCCAACAATGGCTTGCATGGTTCTTGCCAAGAATAGTTGCTTTGTTCTATAAATGACCTTCCAAAATCTTGAGCAGAGAAACATAATTTCAGAAAAATTGAAGAAGGAACAAAAGCCTGAATATTTGCTATCAATACCTCGCGGGGTTTGTGCAATTTCTTCTTGGGGCCAAATTGAGTAGGAATATGGTTCATTTTTTTCTAGAGCAGGCACGTAAGTCTTGGATTTCTCATCTTCTAATGTATTGATAATTTCCATTGCAAACTCCAGAGCATTTAATTGCAACGGAATTTGGAACCCCAACTTGGTTATGGTTTCCTCTAGTGATTTCAGGCTGCCATTATGCACAACAGAACCGCGAGACAGGATTAAAAAATTTGGAATGTATCGAAGAATTCTATAGCTCGGTTGATGGATAGACAACACCACTGTCCTTTGCTTTGCTTTTGCCATTGACGAAAGAAGCTCAATCACTTGAAGTGCTGAAGTGCTGTCTAGACCTGAAGTTGGCTCATCAAGGAGTAGAATTGGTGGATCATGAATCATGTCAACCCCAAGTGACACCCTCTTTCTTTCTCCACCAGATATCCCTCTATTCTCTTCATCACCAACAAAACTATCTGCAACATGGAAAAGGCCAAGCTCATGCATCAAGCTCTCCACCCTTTCTTCTCTCTCTTTTGAACTCATTTCTTTGAGCCTGAACTTGGCACTGAACATAAGTGTTTCCTTCACAGTCAACAAAGGAAGCAAATTATCTTCCTGCGTGACAAATCCGCATATCTTCCTCAACTGAGCTGGACTAGCCATGCGGTGACCATTTATCAACACACTCTTTGGATCAAAATCTTCATCTCTGACTCTGCCTGATATGATCCGAAGAAGACTTGATTTTCCTGTACCACTTGGACCAACAATGGCTAGAATTTCTGAGCCTCTTGCATCGAAAGACACTGATTTAAGTATGTTAATGGGCTTGGGCTTTTGCATCAAGTGAGAAAAAGAAGTGCATACTGACCTATTAGGACAAATGGTATAGGAAAGATTTCTTACAGAAAGTTCAAAATATATTTGTGAATGTTGATGAGGTTGAGGTGGCGGCGAGTGACTGAAAGAAGTGGAGGTGCTGGTGAAGTATTCCTCCGGGGAATTAGAAGTTGAGAAAAGTATCACTGAGTCTTCTTCAACGCTTGGTTGCTGGAAACAAGATGCCATTGTTTAGCCTAATTTTCTGCAGGAAGTGCATGCATGTTAAGTATGAAAGGAGGGAGCTTTGAAGTGGGAATTTTAGCCAAGTTGAGATATGGGGGTTGGACCAACCAGGATAATTGTGAAACAAGGTTTCTTTAATGCCGGTGAGTGTTGTAAAAGTTGGCAGTGTTTGGTGATCTGAGAAAGTTGACTAATTTAGCAACATTGCTTGTGGCAACTTCATTTAATCTAGAAGTTTCATAGATACTTTTTGTCTACGGAATGAACCTATAAAAACTTACCACATTGATGAAACAAGGTTCCAAGGATTCTGCCCATGACCCCATGGCAGGATCAACTCTGTTCGGGTTGATTGCTCAAGACTTCACCAGTTCATTTGATCTATTGTGCGTGAAAAGTAAAAACTGAAAACAAGAAGAAAATGGAATGACAATTCTAAAAATAGCAAAAGCTGGGTGAGGTTGATCCACCCGACCAACAACTCATTTGTTCATTGATGCATTTCAGGATTGGCTTGTTCATGCTTTTAGATATTGAGCACCACCTACTGTTTAATGTCAAATGGCATATAATAGAATATCATCAAGTTTTCTTTTTTGCTCATATATAACAAACGAAGAAAAAATTCCATGACTATGTACATATACTTGATAGGTTTCGGATATTTGATTCAAACGTTAGCTCGACGTGCATTAATCTAAACCATGCTTGCTACATCCAAATCGTAAAAAATGGTAGTATATTGTTTTGAGTCATACTAACGATCCATCAAGTCAGAGTTTGGAAGGATTGTGTAAAATCCGAAAATTCTAGTAAATTATTTCCTGTAAAAAATTTAGCCATATATTAAACTATTTTTACAGGTGTAATTAGCAATATTATGTTGCCAAAAGTACTAAGTTGACGTATTTAATGACATGTCGAAGCAATTTTTTTTTTTTTTTAATGTCAATCCGTCACTTAATGTGTGACAATTTTAATGAATATTCTTTACATGAGGAGTTGTGTTGACACGTGCTGCAGCAACACATTTACCAAAAAAAAAAAAAAAACAAAAAAGGGTAAACTTGAAATGAAATTTAACATTTAGGAGGGAAATAAATTAAATGATATTTGTGAATTGGGAAAAACACACACACACACACACGAAATGCACCGCTTGTTCAAGGCATGGATATATAAAGAATATTGGTCCAAAGTTATATCCCCATTAATACCTAATTTTCAACCGAGTCCTTGAACAAAACAAATTCCCAATTAAAACTCTCCATCTATCAAGCATTATCCAATTAAACCCATTGTGAGAATTTATAACAAAAAACGACATCATTTTATGATAAATATGTCGTCTTTTTTAATTATGATTTAAAGATAAAACTTTTAAGGTGGCTTAATTGGGTAATTCCCAATAGATAGGAGACCCAATTTTTTTTCTTGGAGACTCAATTGAGAATATGCGATAAATCGTTGAATAACAAATTCATTGCCCCAGAAATATTATATTCAAGGCACTCTAATCAAATAAAATAGTGAATATCATGACATAAGTATCATTTTATATGTTACAAAATATAAAGTATAATTGATGTGGCGCATGTTCACAATAAAAAGAAATGGTATATAATTGTTTATTCAAAATTTACTATGCATGTGATCAATTAATCAAATTAAATCAGGACCAAAAAAGAAGGTTATATAACAACGTGATTAGTAATCCACCGAGTGGAAAAGTAATATTAATTAGTTATGCTTATAACTGGTTAATTAGACACGTATTTGGACAGTTGATCATGCTTAAAAATAGCCACTATGAATATAGTAAACCAATATATATATATCGCAAACACTGACTAACCAGCTAAATTTAAGATCAATTAGTTATGAAATTAACTAATCGGTCAATTACATGTATAATGGATCAATAAAATTAACCATACAATATAATCACTAATTCCCAACTAGAATTTACGTTCAAATTATTATACTATGAATTGGTTAATTAGATAGTTTGAATTGGTAAAATGAGAAGGAAGTACAGTGAGAATGCTAATAAGAAATTTTAAAATATTTCAGGATTTTAAAAAAGAGACAAATACAAAAAGTGGAGAAAAAATCACATCTAGACCCACTGCCTAGATTTAAATAATTTTCCTTCTTCTATTTGTTTTTATTTCTCTTATATGAAGTGAGTATTGCTAGTTATTTCTTGAGTACCATAAAATTTATCATGCTAACTACTCAATTGATTGATCATCCTTTATTATTTCTAATTGAAAAATTTTAAAATATTCATAGAGCAATTAATAAAACTTTTTCCATAGATTTACTTTGAGAATTGGGGTGAGCAAACGATTCGGTTAACCAAAAATCGAATTGAATTATGAAATTTGGTTCGATTTTAAATGTAAAATTATAAAATTTAAAATCGAAACGAAAAAACTGAAATTATTTCGGTTCGGTTTTTGAAAAAAAATTTCGATTTCGATCGAAAACTCGAAATAAACATAAAAAAAAATCCTAATTTCTAAATCCCTAACTTTTTCAATTTCGCTAAAACTAAAACACACAATTGGTCTCTCCAATTCTTCTATCTTCCACGCTTCCCTAACCTCCTCCTACGCCACCTATCGCTTCCTCATCCAAGTGCGTACACTAGCATGTTTCTCTATCCTTCCTTTCTCTCTTCTATTTTTGCTTCTTTTATGGAACATATTGATTTTCATTCACACTCGAGATGAGAGATAAAACCAGTTAGAAAAGACCTTTCTTAATTACTTATCGGTAAAAGCAAGAAACAAAGTGGTAAAAGTATTTGTGACTTCTTAGTACTAATTTCGATTAGTTTTCGATAAATAACTAGTATCTTTGTACCTTGCATAACACATTGACTTCTTACACAAATTTCACCAAGGTGTTCCTAGGGAGAGATCGACCGGCTTCGGGATCGATAAACTTGATTTCCAAATTAGGAAGGAGGAATACTATTGAATTTTTCTTTGCAGTGCCATGGTTTTTTCTAGGATCCCTTTGAGTTAGTGGGATACGATCGTGCTCTATCAATCCATATGCTTGATGAAAAATAGGTTAAGTAGCACATTTGAGCATGATATATATACATTTGAAAAAAATATTTGATCGGATAATTAGTATGAATCACGAAGTGGAGCATTTATTGGAAATAAACCATTCAACAATTATGTCTAATTCACAAAAATGTAGTAAAATTATACTCACCTCTTAAACTTGGACGCTAGGGAACTTGTTTTCAAAGGTCGTGAGCAGCTCTAGTGGCAAATGGAGCAACTCGAGATCAAATTCCTCCACTATTGGGTTCTTTACCAAGGCCAAAATAATTTCCTAATTGGTGGCACAATTGGTGCAAAATTGACCTCTTATGTGATCAATGCATTTAGAAATGTCCCGAGTTCCAAACCTACCCATTAACGCTACTTTCCCCTTGTGCCTAAGGGTGACATAATGTATTCTAGCAATACCACATATAGGCTAATCAAATTTGCTAATGTTGTTTTTAGATCCTTTTATGAAACATGTTAATTTTGATTCATACCGAGTTTGCTAAAGTTTTATTGTGCTTGACTTAAAAGATGAGTGAAGGGATGTCTTCTCTACTCGCATGGAAATCCAAATTGCAGCATCTTACGCCAAAATGGAGCTATTTCCTTTGTCGGGTTTCAACTCTTCCACTCTTGCAATTGGGAGCTGGACCATTAATAAAAAGTCGATTAGCATATTCCTCTTTTTAAAATTTTCTCTTGTTTCTTTGGTACTCAATACTCATATGGGATGAAAGCTATTTGGGTGGTCTAACTATATTACAAATTAAAATGCTTTGTTTACGTAAGTGATTGATTTTCTTAGTTTGGACTTTAATTAGAATAATGGTAATAAATAATTATCGACTAAATATGTGGTGTGTGTTCTATTTTATTTTTTCTCATATATCTTTTTGTCTTTGTTGGTGTTTTGGAGTGAAAGATATATTTTGTTTCGAGTAGAGTGTGGTTAGGTAGGAAAGCATGTAAATCCAAAATGATATTACAATAAGGATGATGATGATAAGATCACATGGTGGTTTGGTTAAAATTGAAAACATGAGTAGCACTAGTAGCACTCGCTAGTAAGCACAAAAAGAAATATAAAAGAAATGATTTTTTTTACAATAAAATATTTTGGTTAAAACCAAAATATTTTGAAACCGAATCGAAATAATTCGGTTACAAACTGAATTTACTGAATTTATTTTGGTTTGGTTTCGGTTTTTGTTTTACTCAATTCGGTTAACCGAATCGTACAAAACCGAACCGTTTAACCAAATGATCACCCCTAAGAACAAAGATAGATTAAAGAGAGAGAGAGAGAGAGAGAGAGAGAGAGATCACTTTAATTCTCTCTTTCTCTTATTTCTCTTTATTTTTTGTGTTTATCTTTTTTGTATTAAGTATTATTAGTTAATGTGGAGTAACATAAAATTTCTCTTTCTAATTAGTCTTTCTCCCTCACACGTGTATAATTAACCGAGTTGTTGTTGATTATATGTGGTTTTTCACTAATCAACCAAGTGATTTTACTATTAGTATTTTTAGAATAGTTTACTATTAATTAAATGTGACACTAATTGATCAAATTAATTATATTTGTTAATGATTGGATAACTAAAATTTACTATAGTATAAAACCACCAATTTCTTGTAAATTGAATCTACCATCAATCAATTACAATACTAATTGATTAATTACACATTTAACTGGCCAATTGAATTTTTTGAACTTTTCATGATTCTAACAATGAAACTACCAATTTTATGAATTTTATTGTTACCAAAATACATTGCATGACCATATATTTTTATTGGATTTTTTCCATATTTTTTGGACCATGTACTTTTCTAATTTTATTGATTGAAACCTTATATTTTTTTTTTCAATTAAAACGATCAACTCTTTGATATTTCTTGTTTTAGATCTTTCATTATAATGTCATTAATCAATTATTAACACACCAAATTTACTTTTTAAGATTTCTTATTTTACAATACTATGCATCGATTATCGATTGATGGCTTTATAACGAAAGTATGAATATATCTCGAAACTAAAGGATTTCAATCAAACTTAAAAAAGTAAAATATTTCAATTAAAAAAATTTGAAGAGTACAAAATTTAAATGTGGAAAAAACTCTATTTTTATTGTCTTCACATATATTTTGATTCTTTGCATGATAAACATAAGACTTAACGAGATATATAAAGATTTTATTTCCTTAAATTTAAAAATAAATTAAATATTTTTATCTACTAAAGTGATTATTTTTCTTGGGACTTAGTTAGAAAAAGAAAAAGAAAAAGAAAATGTTTACATGCTAAGCCAAAATCTTGCTTGTTCATTTTTATTTTTTTTGGACGATACGCTAAAAACTTGCCTCTTTAGAATGAAAGGCGGTAACCCAAGATTAAGTAGGGCAAGCGAAACAAAATTGGTCCTCCAACGGCTCTGATTTCTAAGGTTTACAATGATAACAGTTTCTAAGAACAAACTAGAAAATTCCCATTTAGTATCCTCTCTATATCTCTCCCCTCGATGGTTTTTCTTTTACAGGAAACTTTTTGATTTTGCAACAATCTCTCTTCATTTCTCAAATATGCAATCTAGCATGAAAATGGTGAGATGATTCTATAGATGCAGATTTCATTGCTCTGCTTGTATGATCTTCCAACCAGCAGGTGAGGAGTGATTTCAAAAGCCATATGTCCTTGAGGACTTAGTTGAGGTATGCTGACACGATCAAAGTTTTAGATTAATGTAGAATTCGAAAATCATATGGAAATTTGTGTTTTTTTGATTTGGTGTTGAATCTGGTCGAAATTGTTCTTTCGTTTTTAGAGTTAGAGATATTATTGCCTCTGATCCCAGAAGTTTATGAAAACCTATCAACCAAATACACAAACAACCAAATATTTTTTTAGTCGAAACCTTCAAGGCAACAATCAAATAATTTGGCAATAATACGAGCAACAAGCCAATGATATTTCGAATATCAATCCAAACACCAATGAATATTCACACAAACACAAATCCAAAAATCCAACAAATCTAGAAATATTATAACAAGCTGAAATCCTAGCAAAACTTATCGAAATATTCTAAATTTTTAACAACTTAGGTGAAGCCTAATGAAGTTGTGGTCCTAAATTCATATCAATCGACCCTTCTAGGTCCGCTTAAAGTAGCTTGTCATATAATCACAATATTTTAACGAGATCTTAGTTAGTCAAACTCTCAAATACATCATAAAACCCTAATGACTACAAGAAAAACACACAAGTAGTGACATATTATAATCCTTCGCTAATTGGATATAATCTGTCACGTAAGCGACTTATCAACCGTATTTTCATCGCTAAAACACTTATCGCTAAAATTGACAATGGAAAAATCTGTCACAATGGAATTTTCATCGCTAAAATTTACATATTCATCGTTGTTTTGGTCGCGAGACCCATCGTGACTTCAGTCTCTAATCCATCGTTGAATAACAATCGACATGTTATTGCTAATATCCAAAGCTAATTGGAGATGTTGGTAAACCATCTTTATTCCGTTGCTAATTTTCGTCGGTATCCATCGGTATTTCGTTGCTAAAGGCAAGGATTTTTTCAAAAATCCGTCGCTAATTAATTTTGGAAGAAAAAAATTTATAGTTTTTTTTTGGTTTGTTTGTTTTTAAATTATTAATATTGTATGTAATAATTGACAATTACAAGTAATAACATATAAATTAAATATAAATTAATATTGACAATAACATTCGAGTAGTACGTTTGATAAAAAAAAAACAAAGTTACAAAATTTATTATCACTCATCCTACTCGTTTAATCCCCTATCCTCCTCCCGATATTGTGTGGGGGACTCGACGGGAGGCTACGTAGGAGGAACAAGTGGATTCATGATTGGTCGACGGATCTATAGGAACCCCGATTGTCCGTAGTAGCCTCATCACTAAGGAGGCCATCGTTTCGTATGGAGAGTGAAGCCTGTATACGATGCTTTGTTCCTCTATGACCGGGTTTTGAAGCTAGTGTTGTCTCACCCGTATCCCTTTCATCGCTTTTTTTATCACGTTGTAGTTCCTCCAAAGCTCTTCATTAGCAAAGTCGATGGTGTAATGCAAAGACGCAGAGAAGGAACTCGTTGCCACTCGATTGAGACATATAATGCACTACCCGCATGCCTACACCATATAGCCTTTTCTTTTTCTCCTCGACAACCTCAAGGTATATGGCATTCTTGTCAACTTCGGCTCTAGGATTCCTTCGCCTCCTATATCGGAATCGCCTCCTAGGTGAGCTATTCCACACACTTCCATATAATCAAAATAATGATATCATCATTATTTTAAAAAACACCTACCATTGTTTATTGGGAGCGTAGATCCATGAAAACATCATCTCGTCATTTGTGATCTTCCGAAATAACTCAAAACTCGTTAGCTCACGACCCAATCTTACTCGCCGTAAAAAATACATTACAAACAATATGAAAAGAAAATTAAAATTTTTTGAAACTTGTAATTAATAATAAAAAAATGTATAATTTATCAAGTGATGGGCGTGCTCTTTCATAGATATAGTGTAACATCCCCAACCTAGGACCTAATAGGTTGAGAATATTATTGCCAATAACTTACGTTCGGAGTGGAATGAACGTAAGTTACCAAGGCATTGTGACTTATCTATAGATCTAGATGGTATACTTACATTGTGAAAGTTTACTAATTACGGTTAGGTCCTATTCCTAGTCCCAAATGTCCTATAAAATTTTTCGTGTTTCACAATCCTATTTATGTTCTTTAAATCGAACTATCCAAATTTGTGATATTCGTTTTTCTTAAATTCATTTCTTCATTTACTTATACTAATTTATTTGGTTATAATTTATTAGTATAATTTAGTTATAATAATTATTGTGCTGATAATTAATTTAAACCATTCCTACGCTAGCAGTTCATTAACGGTACTTTACTTACATATACATAAATATTTACATCATAAACTAAGTTATCAGCTCATTATCACTTACTACAAAAATGGCTTATTTCCTATTTACATCCGGTTTCCTATTCCATTTTATCTACTGTATCATAGCTTTAAGGAGCGCATAACAAAATGCATTCATGGCTATAAAGTAAACTAAAATACCCGGTACGACAAGAGCTACCGTATGTATCGAGTCTATATGCTAACCACAGCCTAATATACATGCGACGGATGCCCTCTTCGATAGTCGACTCAAAGGTTATGAACACCATCTTTATCCGGGATAGCTACACCACAAACATGTA